AAAAGATTTTAAATTCAGCTCCTTAAAACCGTCCAGTACTCATGTACGGACACGTGAAAATTTTGACGAGAAAACTGCTAACTCAGAAACGGCAAAAGCTGAAGGCTTTAATTTTAAGGGCATATTTCCTGCTCATGTGCAAATAAAAAATTTTAAACTTAACTCTTCTTGTGTGGCCTTTTTTTGCGGACCAGCAACTTTCCACTTGTCGGGTCACTGAAGTCGACACCTACAACTGACATACTACATAATTACACAATTAACTTCCCGAACTTCGAGGGCCAATATTTCACAGGGTTAGCTACGCTGATTTCTTGCGATCTTGTTACAGCACGAAAGTGCAAAAACGCATAATCGCACCGGCCCGCCTGGTGCGTTCCAGCCTGGGTTTTGTATTTCCTTATACATTTCTATCCCTCGCAGGCTTCTAGGTGGCCCATTTTTTGCTTAGCGTTGCTCATTTACCATTTTGCAATGCGCATTCTCGACGTCTTGTTCATCCATCATCGCCACACGGCCAGCCCAGCCCTTTCCAGTTTGCACTGCTTTGACAATATTGTTTACGCCAAACCAGAATCGCACCATTGCACTATGGGTGCACTGCAGAGTAATTCGTTTATTATGCAAAGGCGCACTTGATGCTGTGGCTTTTTTCAGCAAACGTGGTTTTCTGTGCTTTACTTTTGTAGGGCAAAAATAACGGACAGTAAACCACGTTTGCTGAAAAAATAATTGGCCAACGCACGGGCTACCCGTGCGAAGATGCGTTTTTTGCATAGCTCCCCGCAAATTTTTGTCGTTAACGGCACTGGTTTTTCCGGCAGATGCTTCTAGCTAAAAGAATTTCAGACTGGCCGCCAGAACTATCAGGAAAAATTCCTTCAAAGTTCCACTCTTCTAGCTTCTCACGTCCTCGAGTTAGCAACTTATCCGAAAGAAACTTGCACGGGCCCGTACGTAGGTACCACGCTTACCCGCGGACAAGGTTTGAACTGGTTAATACCCACTTGGACAGGGAACGTCCCCCTAAGATTTCAGCGTTCTAGCTTCTCAGATCCCCGTGTTATGAAGTTACCCGAAAAAAATTTTGGCGGCCCGTACGCGGGTACCACGCGGGTGTTGGCGTCCATTTTGGGGATTGGGGCCGGCA